GAATCCCTCCCCAGGGAGCCGGGAACCAGGGCTGCCTTGGGAAGATGGAGCAGAAATCCCAGCCTGGAGGTGCCTGGAGCCCTGGCCAGGATGGGGTCAGCGTGGAGGGGTGGTGGCAGAGGGACCAGCCACGCTCAGGGCTGGGTCTGGTGGGGTCATCCGTGCTGGGACAGTGCTGAAGGAACCCGGGGGTGATGGGTGTGATGGTCAGGGGGCTTGGGGAGCCCTTGGGCAGGAGGCAGAGCTGTGCTGGGAGGAGAGGATGTGTGTGTGACAGAAAGAGGGGGGATAATTTGTTTCTTTGTTTAATTCTGTTGTAATCAAGCCCAGAGGCCTGGTGTGGGGGAGCCATTTCAAATTGTCTGCCATGCAATAGGCATTTGTCTTAATTTATGTGGGGGGAGGTTGTAAATCTGCAGGAGCTTGGATTCCACATGCGCATTTCAAATAACAGCACCTGACAGATCACTGGCAGCTCAGAGCTCTTTCTGCTTCAGAAAACAAAATATTGGAGGAGTTGTGTGGTGTGGGTAAATAATCTGAGGAATTAGGCCAGAATATCCAGCACACTTTTCTTGGAGGAGCAGAGGAGGTGATAGAGCTGCAAAGTTCAGGAGTCAGGGATGGAGGGAGGGGAGGCACAGCTGAATTGTGTGAAAGTTTTCCTTCAGTGATTCCTTCCCTCCCCAGCCCCAGCTGGAATCACCACCGTGATCCACTCCAGGTGCAAATCCATTGGTCTGCCCTGATTCTTCTTTAGCTTGAAGGGATGGAGAGCACAGTGCCAGCTCTGCTGGGGAGTGTGGCAAACACCCCCTGCAGCCCAGGGGAGCGCAGGAACACCTCAGCCTGCTCTGGATGTGCTGGGAACTCAGGGTTTGATCAGGAAAAGCCCTCCTGGGCTGGATGGGGAGGCACAGAGGCTGCTGTGTGCCCTCCAGTGTAGCTGAGGTGGTTTCACTGTGGGAGTTTCACTCAGTGAGTAAACTCGACCCAAATGGAAGAAGCAGAGCATGGAGGGGTGGTGGGAGTTGCTCCTGTGCACACAGGCACCCTGTACAGGAAGGTTGGCTTCACATGGAGGCTCCATGGGCATCGTGTGCTTGGAGAGATGCAGGATGAGCCTTGAAATTTTCCAGAAGAAAAAAAAAATTGGTTTGGTCCTCGTGCTTTCATGGCAGCTCAGTGTTCCAGTTTCTGCAGCACCACCCTGGAGATTTTCTGGAAGCAGTGCTGGCTCTTGGAGGGCACTCAGCCTGTTGGTGACCCTGTGAGTGACCAGGGCTGTGCTGGCTCTGAGCAGCTCCTCTTGGAAAAGAGGAGCTGAAATCCCAAAGAGGAAAGTAGGAGGAATGACTGGAGAATACTGAGTGTTCTTGTGCTGGGCTGGATCACTTGCATTAAATTCAGAGACTTTCTGAGTACAATTAATAGTCATTTTATTTAGGTCACCCTGGTTTTGTTGCTTTAAATGTATGCCTCCATTAAAGTGGAAGAAAATCAAATACATTTATCTCCGTGGAGCCTTTTGTGAACTGGTTGGGCATATTTTAAATAACCCTGGGAACTGTTAGGATTATTAAAGCCTTTGGCTCCTCCAGGTTTTTTTTCTTTCCTCCTATTCTCCCCTATTCCTCCTTCCAGGCAGTGAGTAATGAAGTGGTAGAGCCCTTCCTTTTCTCAGAGCCCCAAGTGGATTGGAAAAAAAAAGAAGTTAAATAAACTGAAGCCCATTAGTTAGGCTTTATGTAAGAAACTGGGTCTGCATTGGCTGTGTGGATGGGCTGTGCTGGGACAGAGGAGTCTGGGGGCCTGCAGTGTCCATTTGTAACCAGTGTTCACTGGCAAGCCTTTGTTTTCTTCTTTTTTTAGTTACCCCAAGTCCTGAGACTGTTCATTTTGTACCTCTGACTCGGGGCTCAGAATGAGTCTGCACTAACCAGCTCCTTTGGGCTCCGTGTGAGGAGGTTGGGGTCTGGGTGCCCTGGGTGGGGATGGCCCAGCCTCCCCTCTGTGCTGGGGCATCCAGGGCTCCCCTGGGGCTGGGGTCCTGCTGGCAGTGTGTGATGGGTGATGGCCAGGCCTTGCAGGTGGCAATTCCACCTCCCAGTGCTGCTGCTAGCCCAGGAAAAGCCTTCCTTGCCGCTTGTGTGCAGAGTGAGAGCTGCGTGTTCTGAGCTGAGAGCTGGGGAAGCTGCAGCTGAGCATCCCTGTGCTGGAGGAGGGGTTAACTTGGGCACTCACAGCCCTGAATGTGCTCAGGTTTCTGCTGTGGGCTGGTTTCTTTCCCTTCCCCTGACACAGGGATCAGTTTGCTCCGAGCAGGGTTTACTGGCGGTTACCTTGGCTGCGTCCCTCCTCTCTCCTTGCTGAGAACTCGAACAAGCCGCTTGTGTTTGCCTCGCAGAGCACCGTGAGAAACGGGCTGTGTGTGTGAGGCGCTGTGGTTTGCTCATTCTATTCAGCCCTTTGTATATTCAAATTCTTCTAGTTTGAGTTCTTGCTGTTCTGCCAGATTTCCATACCATTGATGGGTTTTCTGCATTAATAAGTTTTTCTCCCCCCTCCCTCCCATACCCTCGCCACCTTTTTGCTACTGGTGAAAAGTTTTTCTGCCCTCTCCACATTGATTTTCCTCTCCCGCTTGTCTCACCGGCTCTCAGATGTTTTATTTTGCAAAGCGTTAATAGAATTTTCCTTTTGCCACCGCACTTTATCTATTCAGGGGGTTTCAAGAAGTCTCATTGTGTCACTGGGCTATGGAGGAGAGAGGCTATTCTTCTGCCACAATGGCTGCCCTAAAAAATAACGCAGGGTGGGGTAAGCACAGAAAGGGCAGAGACGGAGATAAAATGTTCTGACCTTAGGAAAGAGAAAAGATAACCAATTAGACATTGTTGAAAGGGCACCAGCTGGCTCAAAGAACACCCCACTGATCATTTTTTCTTCAAGGCATACTTGGGCCACGACTGAACTCAGCTGCAGAGGCGCTCCCCCCGTGCAGGTCTCATGTGTGCAGTGTCAGGGCTGAGCCTTTTGCAGGGGCTGCTGCCCAGCCCTGGTGCCAGCAGTTGGTGCTGCTGGAGGGGGCAGTGCCCGCTGCAGGGTGCCTGTGCCCCTGGGGGCCCAGGAGCCTCCCTCCAGGATTAGCCCTGCAGCCCCTGCTTGCTACTGCTAATAATAGGGGTTTATTTGCATAAAAAGATGCCTGCCAAGATCATCATTGCAGCTTGGCACACGTGGCACAGAGCCCTGTTTGCCCAGGGGTGGTGGCGTGGTGGGCAGGTGGGAGAAGGGAGGGACCTGCAGAGCCCAGGAGGAGGTGGAACCTGCGCTCAGGATGGGGCACAGGGCACATCCCTGTGCTCCTGCACATCCAAGGGGCTGGGTGTGCATCCTGCCATCTCTGGGATGGGGATGGAGAGGGAAAATTCCACACTGAACCTTTTGCAGCCGGGGTTGCCTGGGGACAGAGGGTGGCACTGGGAGCTGTGATGCCCCAGGAAGCAGCAGCAGGTGCAATGTGTAATTTTTGGTTCCAGTGAGGCCAAGACCTGTGAGAATGAAAAATAAAGATTGCTGAGCAAACATAACCCTGGGGCAGAGATAAGCAGGGTGAAGGGCAGCCTGGTCCTTATCTGCCTCCTGGTGTTGCTCATCCTGGTGAGTTTTCCCCCTTGGAGGGCAGACAGACAGCAGGACAGAGGGCTCTGTGCTTAATGCACTTTGGGTTTTTCAGTGCATCAGCGTCTTTGGGTCTCAGTCAAGATGGGTATCAGGAGACTGCATTTCTGCACCCTCTCAGGCCACTGCTGGCACTTTCTGCAAACCACTTGGACTAAAAAAGTTAAGAACAACTTAAGCAGAGACAGATTTTCAGATGAATTTCAGGCACCGTGTAAGGTTTTGCTGCACTATATTTTTGTGCAATCTCCTGGAACATATTACAGCCCTTCAGAACCTCAGGGAGGTTCAACTTTTGTTTTCAGCACCTTCCCAAATTACTGGGGAAAAAAAAAATTCCAAAAACCTCAAACAAAAAATCCCAAAGCCACATCCCAGACAAGCAGTGGAGTCTTTAGAGGATGAAACCTTTTCTTTAAAGTTCTTCCTTCCTGCAACACCTTGTGTAATTCAGTGTTAGAGGTTTTCATCATCCCTGAGTGTACAGCAGGGGATTGCAAGTGTAATTTCATCTCAGAGCTTGCCCAGGCCATGTCCAGGGGCACATGGACCCACCTGCCCCAGCCCTGCAGCCTCAGAGCAGCAGCTCAGGGTGGGATAACATGGGGAATCAACCCCAGCACCACAGCCTTGTGCAATAAGTGCAAAATTTTAGGTGTGGCTGCACAGATTAAATGGAGGTGGAATAAATCATGCAAATCCTAATGAAAGTTGAAAGCAATTTGGTTGCACTTCAATACGTTTCATCAGTCATCTCTCTGTGAAGTGGAAATGCCGAGCCTGATGCGAATTAAAGTCTCTCCCTCCTCCCTCTCCCCTCTCTCCTGCAGCTTTTCAAAAGCCCTTTTGAAAACCTCTGAATACCTTTCTTGGCTGACCAGATTTTACCCTGCTCATACCTCTTTTAACCCAATTCTCAACCAAGACAGTGACTCTAAATTTGGAGGAGTCATGGCTCGATTTGCATCCACACTTCCTCCCTGCTTGGTCTCCCTACAGAAGGGAGATGAGGCACGGCCAGGGATTGATGTGGAGTGGGAAAGCTGATGAGATATTGGGCTGTTCAGGGCCAGCATTTCCCTGGTCACTGCTTTGCTTCAGGATCAACAGGATCAACATTTCAGTGGTCACTTCTGAGCTTCAGGATGAGCTGTCAGCAGGGCAGGGAGGGGAAAGCAGCAGGTTTCCAGCAGGAGGAGCTGCCCCTGGCCAGAACCAAGGAGCTGAGCTCCTGCCTGTGCCCTCCCTGGTGTGTGTGCTGTGTCTGAGTTAAAGCCAGCTGTGTTAAAGCACAACTCTCCCTCTTTGTCTTGCAGGTAGAGGATGCCATGCTAATGTTTGACAAGACGACCAACAGGCATAGAGGTAAGAGGGGCTGGGGGCTCTGAGCTCACAGTGTGTGGCAGGTTCTGCTTGGGGGAGCAAAAACCAGATCCTGTGAGATCTGAATTTAGCCAGTGGCTAAACCATGGCACTGAATCCTCTGTCCTGCAGGTAGCACAGGAGGGGTGTTGGCATGGAATGCCCCAGGCACGTGGATTTTCTTGTTAGGAGTGATTTTCCTGCTCAGTCTAGTGACCAAAGTCAGGGATTGTAGTACCTGGAAATTTCAGCAGCACTGAGCAAAAGCCTTGCTGAGGAAGATGAGCCCCTCCAGCCAGGGAGGCTGTGTGAGCAGGCAGTGCCCTTCCATTTGTAGCAGGGACCTCTTCAAAGCTCTTGCTTAGGTTGAAAAGTTCAACCCGTGACAACTTCCTTTTATATGAGGGAATTTTCCACCCTTCTCCATGAAATCCCCCTTAAATGGGCCATAAATACTGCTCTGCATTCAGGGTCTCAGCGCTGTGTTTGTGGCATTTAAAAGCTGCTTGGTGAGGAGCTTTGGTGCTGGGCACAAGGGCCCCGTGGTCTGGGGGCAGCTGGGGGGCACTCAGCAGCTTTGGCCTCTGACACAGGTGCAGGTGTTTCCATTTGCTGAAATGTCCCAAACCCAGGGCTGGCTTCCCCCTGGTTAGGAGCTCCAGATGCCAGGGCTGGGTTCCCTACTGTCTCTCTGTGAGCTCTGTCCCAATCCCAGGGCTGGTTTCCCCCTGTCTCTCTGTGAGCTCTCTGTGCTCTCAGCTCTCTGTGCCCACCCTGCCCAGGGTGTGCAGGGGCAGGGGAGCAGGGCAGGGCTGTGTGAGCCCTCCCTGAGCAGGATCCTGCCCAAGGTGACCCTGCTGTGTCCCTGGCTCTGTGCTGCTGTAAGCACTTCCAGGCAGGAGGGCACAGCGAGTGTTGGTGGCTGAGCTCTGGGAGTGGTGGCTGAGCTCTGGGAGTGCTGAGCTCTGCTCCAGCAGCCCTGCCTCAGCCTTGCTTCAGCATTTCTGGGCTCTTTGGGGAGCCTGCAGGCTGCAGCCTGGGTAATGAGCCCTGCAGGATGCATTCCTTGCCCAAAAACATCTTTGCACTGACTTTCCAGGAGCAGAGGCCTGCTGAAGATCAGGGCTGCAGGTCTGGGAGGGGCACCTTAAGTGCTATGAAACCTTTTGGGTTTTCCATAAAGAGCTTTTTTTCCCACTGTGTGTGTTGAAGATGAGAGGCAACAGGTCATCCTTTCTTATTTCCCCTGAGAATTCTGTGAATTCATTTCATTGACTAATTTTTTTAACAGCTTGTTTTTCCTACATGCAAGCCATGACATTTTGCTCTGCATTAGCATCCCAGTGTGAGCTCCTGGATGAGGTCTAAATGGGGATGAACTAGAAGTCCCTGAGGACCAAGAGCAGGCTCCAGATGCCCCTGGGTGCAGGTGATGTTACCCCACAAGCTCCCCTGTGCCCCAGAGCCAGACTGAGCACCCAGGTGTGTCCCTCTGGGGCAGGTTGGGCTGGAGTCCCTCTCCTGGTGAAGGAAAGATTCTCTGGCACTCAGGGAGGTCCATCCCAGGGAGCAGCCTTATCTCTGCCTGTCTGTGGGCTGAGCCAGAGTTCTGTGAGCAGGGAAAAGGGGCTGCACAGCTCCAAAGGACAGAGCAGGCTGAGCTCCAGGCCCTTGCCCTGCCAGGCGCAGGTGGGAGGAAAAATCAAGTACAAAAGGCAGAGTAAGAGTCCTCTTCATCTTCACACTTGAATTTCTCCAGCCTTTTGTGGCATTTCTCCCTGCTCTGCACAGGTAGCTGGTGCTAATCAGCCTAATGAACTGGCTCAGGGCTGTGGTGATGAATGAAGTGAGTTCTGCCGCCTCCACCGCCGATAAAATCACCCCAGACTTTACAAATTGTGGCACTCTGATTGTGGTGGGAGCGTGTTTAAAATGCACTAGTGTGCAGCAACAGTGTTAATGGCAATTCTCAAAACCACTTGTGGGCTGCAATCTGTATCTTCAAATTAGCCCGGGGAAGGAGGAATGGCAGATAAAATATCCGCTGTGGTTTGCTGCCCTGGTCTCTGCCTGCAGTAATCACCGTGGGCACGGGAAGGGAGAAGGATTAAAATTCACTCCCACTGCTAGAAGGTGAGATAAATTTCCCTGCAAGAAAACGGAGAGGGTTTGTTGACATAATTGTGGCACGTGTGTGTTGCTGCTGTGTGTGGGTTTGGGGAGTGTGGGACTCACCTGCCCCAGCACTGCTCAGTGGAAATGCAGGATTGAACCAGGCAGAGCAAGAGGGGCTTCCAAAACTGCTCACCCTGCCTGGAAAACCCCACCCAGGATAAAACTTCATGCCTGGCATGGAGCGCTTTGTGTCTGGGGTGCACTTGATCTTGGAGGTCTTTTCCAGCCTTAATGATTCTCTGATTCTATAACCTTAGAAATGCCATCAGGCCAGTCCTGCTGTGTCTCTGCCAGGGGTATTTTAATGTCCAGCTATTCCTGGATGTTCTCGAAGGAAAATAAGACTCAGCTCCTGCATTTCATGCTGATCTGTTTAGCCATATTGAAGGCAGGGTGCAAAATCTGTGTTTAATTGGAGTGGTTATGTTTTGGTGTATTGTAGGCAAGACAATCCCTAGAATCACTGGGATGCCTCCTTCCAGGGGTTCTTCTGGCTGTGGGCACACAAAAAACCAGTGTTTGATAAGTAAATATCCCTGGGTCAGCTTGTTTAGGTGCCTTTTTTTTGGGAAAGAAAGTGTTGGTGATCCTCTATTTCTGAGCTACTGTATTCCTGCAGTCTTCTAAAAACCACACACAAAAGTTCTCCCAGCATTCTGGCAGATCACTTCTGTCACTTTTCTTCACTGCTTAAAATTTCATAGAGCTGAAAATTACTGGGTCAATCTTGAAAGGATTCAGTAATTGGAAAGAAAGGGGAAAAAAAGAGGGTGGTGTTATTTTGTTACCCTTGCAAAGTGCAGATAAAATCTGGAGTTCAGCATTAGTTATTGATCTTTGGGGGTGGAGGGAGCCTGGCAGGATGATGATGTCCTTCTAACTTCATTATGGAGAGGAGCTCCAGGAAGCATTTCAATGTGCTGGGCCGTGCCCTTGGGCTGTGTGAGGGTTTGTGTTCCCAGCAACGCTGAGCAGGAGCTGCAGACCCAGCCGAGGAGGAGCAGGGAGGGAGGAAGGCACGGTTGGATCAGTGCAGGGTGCCAGAGCGGCTGTCTGAGCTGGTCCCAGCCTGAGGGGAGCCAGGAGAGGGGGTTCAGGGGTTCCTCACCTCAGAGGGATGCCCTTGCTCCCAGCCCTGTGATCCCTGCCCAGCCTGTGCCCATTCCCTGGGTGCCCACAGCCTTGAGCCACCCAGGAGTTGCCCAGGACCCTCAGCACAGCAGCCCCACGTCCTGGACTCACAGAAAGCCCCAGATTTTGAGTGAGTGACCCCCCCAAGCTGTAATTGCAGCACTGAGTGTAATACTATATGTTTTTCAAAGCCGTCCAGCCCCCAGAGTTATTTTCACATCAATTAACCCTCGTGCACAGTTAAGGGTGGCAGTGGAGAGAGGAGGGAAGTGACAACGTGTGATTTGGACTCCTTTAATCTTGAAACTAAACAAAATTAATGCTAGGCAGGCTGTCTGCAGGGTACAGACAGCATCATGGGTTTTGGGGGCTCAGACGTGCCCAGGGATGGGCACTGAGCTCTGTGCTCACTCACTGGGGCTTTTGCAGGGTTCTCCTGTTCCCTGGGCTTGTGGTGACTGCCCAGGCAGGGCTGGAGGGTGGCTGAGCATCCCCTGGGCTGCCAGGCCCTTGCAGGGGGCACCAGGGCACTGCTGGTACCCTCGTGTGGCATCGTGCTGTGCCCAAGGGTTGGGGTTTGCCTGAACCACAGAGCTCAGGCTAAAGGGTTGGTGCCCCCATCCCACCAAAACCAGAGCACAGGGGCTCTGCCAGCCTTGCCACGGGCTCTGCTCTCAGGGAGGAAGAGGAGGGTTGAACTCCATGGCTGTGCTGTGTCCATCCAGCAGATTTCAGAGCATGGCTGTAATTGTGCAGGTGGAAGCAGTTGGCACAATGGTTGTGATTCTTGGGAGAGTCAGGAGCGATGCTGTTGGGGAGATATTGGATGTGCCTTGGCCAAGGAGGAGGCTTTTCTGAGGAGAAAAATAGCCTTTTGTGTTCTGTCCAGCTGCCAAAACCTCGGTTCTGGAGCTGATCTCTGAAGTTATAATTGACATTTTTATAGATGAGATATAAATATAATTAAGTCACTGCAATTATTTGTTTATCGCCATCTCCCTCAAGCCAAGCAAGGTCATGTGCATTTAAAAACTCATCCCCAGGCAGTTTTGAGAAAAGAGTAGTTAAAATATATAGAAATAATTGCCTAATTTGGTCATTTAGAGTGTAGCTTTTCTTGGCAGCAGCCTGGCTGTAGCACTGAGCATCCTTAGACGTGCTTGGAGGGAGATTGTGCTTTTGGGAGGACAGTGCTGAGGGAGAGCTGCTCCAGCAGGTTTAGGGACAGCATCCACAGTGATGCTTTTTTAAAACATCAATGCTTTAAGGGCTCTGGATGAGGAGTGTGCCACAGGCTCTTAGTGGAGGCAGTGTTATTGTTATTGCTTCCCCAGGTGAGCTGGCCTTTATTCCCCTGCCAGCTGCATCGCCTCTCAAATGGGGCTCCAGAGAGTGCCAGGGCTGTGCTGGGCCCCCTCCCTGAAACCCATCCCAGGGACTGGGGCTGGAATAGAGAGTTTAACCCTTGGTGATCTCCCCCAGGGCATCGGGGGAGCAGCAGCTGCCCACAGGGGCTTTGGAGAGATTTTTGAGCAAATATTTGCTTCTAAACTTCACGTAAGAGCTGCAGAGATTCATTAGTTAATATTATTTACCATTTACACACCTATCAGTGAGCACCATCAGTCACACCTGTCTGTTTGGATTGCAGCAGTGACATGTGCCATGTTAATATTTTATATGTGTGTGTTTTTAAT